GTGTTCTTTTATACGGATACACAAAGGTCTGCCCGTTTCGCCAATATATTCATCTCCGCAATTGTTACACGAGATCAGGTTAAAAACCTCGCGATTGCTGATCAAGAAAGTATTTTAATTAATTGGCGAAGAGCAGAATGAAACAAGGTTGGAAGTCGGAAAATATCTCATATCGCGTGTTGTAGGTCGGTTGGAAGCGCCACTGCGACACACACGTAGAATCGATCCTCGCGCCCATGGCTCACCAAACCTTCCATCCCCCCGGGGTGGATAAATTGGTACCAGACTTATCTGGGAGGATAGCAGCACTGGCTCGATACATCGGTAAACCACCGGGTGTAATTGTAAAGGCCAGATATGCATTCAATCACCTCCAACGATACTTAATAAAGTCGAATGCATGGCGCATCCTTCAGGGATTGATCAACGCTGAGAGCTTCATCCTTTACTTTTCTATTATCGCATGTTATAAACGAGTCGAAGCAAAAAATTTACGAAAAAATTAGCAGATTAGATTACAGATAGGAAATTAGGAAAAAGATTAGCAACAACTTCCAATCTTCTCAGAAGTTTGTCTTATTCGATTTCTTCCGAACGATATGTGGCATGAACATCAGCAAGGTTTAAATGTAAATCTTGCTAAAGGATAAAGGATAAAGATGTCGGCGTTGATCATTACCGAAGGGATATTCCATACATTCAATTTCATTAAGCATCGTTTGGAGGTGACTGAATGCATACCTGGCCTTTGCGATGACTCGCGGTGGCCTAGTAATGTGTCGAGGCAGTGATGCTATCCTTCCAGTCGTAAGAATTTGCCGACCCCGGTGGGATGGAAGGCTTGGTGGGCCATGGGCGCGGAGATCTATTCCACGTGTGTTGCAGGGCACCTCCAACCATTGCACCACAGTCTTGCAAAACAACCATTAAAATTTTGAGATAAACACCCGTTTTAACAGTGAATTTCAATTGTGTTCGAGGAAACATCTTGACAGGATAGAATAAGATAGCCTCTGTTCATTAATTTTGCCTAGAATGTGCACCGTGTCCGATTCATATGCTCTTGTAAATCTTCATGTATTAAGACATTTCTCTGCTCGATACGATATATCCTTAGCATCACCATATCAATAACTTATTTGATAACGATGACACATGTTGCACGCTGACTACACAACGTCTGTGTTCCCGACAACGGAGAAAGGGTTGTAAGCTTAAGGATTCGGTCGCAAATCTCCGGCTTATTCGTCTTTTTTATGTATTTGAAGTGCCCGGTTCATCGGGCATGAATAGCGCGTTACAGTTAAATCCTTTCTCAGCAATATTGTTTTTCCTAGATTCATCTGAAGACTCCTTTTTCTTCATTCGTTGTCAAAAACGCGAAACCTTTGTTCCGCATAGAAAATGCTTGAAAGGTGAAAGATGAACAGTGTCACCTCCAGAGCGAATACTGTGTAACAAGGGGTCGTCGTTTTTCTGATTTTTTTTTATCACATTGTGGTTTCCGCATTACGTTTTCGAGAGTAATCGCATCGCCAATATGGATGGATGTGGCAGACACCCTTGGCAAAATTAAACTAGATTTTCTAACACCTCTCTCTTAAGCGAAGATAAAATTCCACAATTTCGAGGTAGAATACAGCTTTTACGAATACTGTGTTGGAATGGCTACTGTTGATATAGGAATACCAAGTAGTTAAGACGATTCGGTTAGAGTTAGCTGCTCGCCTTTGTGTGCGCCCCGCGGGGCTTCTTTTAAGTAGCAGTCACAATGCCGGACACCTTAAACTTGAGTAAATAAACCGTTTACCATAATTATACAACAATTATAGCATAACAATACAACTGTACAATTAATGCAACAATGATACAAGTAAAGAATAGGCGCAGCCTAATCACTGGTGTTCAGCTTGCTTATGAGTGAAGAGACTGGCACATAACTTCCACTACATGAGATGGATGTAAGGAACGGATACGGTGACTTGTGTAGCATTGCTGTGACATGAGCTAGCTAACCGTGGAGCCGTTTATATACCCTTTGCGCTGGGCGGAGTCAGACTACAGCATGCGGAAATACAGGTGTTGAAAACATTTATCAAGCATTGCTATCTGATAAGGCGACAATCAAAGCATAGGGCTGTAACTGCAAATATTTTTCATGAGATAACCGCTAACGAAATGTTAGACATAATGTTATCGGATCGTCATCGGAAACAGTATTCGAAATGTTCGACATAAGGTTAACAGATCGTCTTAGGAGAAAGGCCAACGGAAACAATATTCGAAACGTTTTACACAGAGAACATTCTAATGTTCGTAAAGAATGTTTGGTATACGACATGAATGTTTAAAACAGTGATGCCATTTCTTAAAATAGGTATGGTAGAGAATGGATCAGGTGGTCAGTTCTGGCTGAGCGTTCCGTTGTTTAAGAGACAGCTTAGGTTTGTAGAAGAACACGGATATCTACTAGCCATCAACACTGCCTCGTCTCCTTTTCTTAAAGCGCTCATTAATGAAAGACATTGCACAAAAGCCTCGATGTAAGCAACTTCTGGATTTATGTCGAGCTTGAAACGGGAAAAAACTTGTGTGCGTCGAAATTTCTGAAATAACTTTAAAAAATTGAAAAATCGAAAGCTATTTTAATTGCAACGCATCTCACATGAATGCAGAAGGGTTTAACTGAAAAAAAAAACAACCAAAAAAAACTTTTAACAGCACCAGCAAAAAAGGGACGTTTGAAGGCGAAACGAAGACGAATTAGTTTAAACACTGTCATCGGAAAGTTCGCTAATGCACAAGTTCTTTTTTGGCCATGCTGAGTGTGCAATGAAATTTTGAATAAATTCTGTACAGATGTAAAGACAATGGATTTTACGAATAAATTGGTATAACGATGACAACGAAGAATTGGTATAGTCGATAGCGAGTGACTCTAAAAAGCCCCAGAACCGACTTTCTATTAACCTTGGCAATGTTTGATAATTCGCTGTTTTTTTTTTTTTCAATAAGCAAATCGTTCTATACCTAAAGTGCTCCAAGTTGACGGAAATCAGAGAAAGCGCAACATTTGCCGTTCTACATTGACCTTCACAGTCACTGCGCCATTTGTAATTAAAACGCTTTCCGAGTAAACACCATGATTTTTTTTCCGTATTCTTGTCATGCAAACGCGAGGTGTTATTATTCTTTATTCACGAACAAGCCGACGTTTCGGCAGATTTCGTCTTTCTCAGATCCTGGAAAGTCAAGTTGACAGCAATCTATTGGGCCAAACACCTCCATAACCAAATAGAGAAAACGCTAAACCAAGATTTCAACCACATTGAACGCAAAATAGCTTCTTTGCACACTCGCCGCTTTCTATGATTCTTCCACTGAGTATGTCGCGTGGAGGCCAACCGCACAGAGTTCACATGGAAGCGTAATGTGCACACCCCATCAGAAAAACAGGCTTATATACTGCCCAATATCACGCGTGATAATGAAGCATTTTTTCCTGCGGTTCATTTTTGGATTTCTGGAATTAATCCGGAACTCCTCGAGAGTTTTGCGCGCTTTGTTCTCGATTCCTGTGCGAGGATCGTCATCCATACCACGAAGCCTTCTCGTTATGTCTTCCGTTCCTTTGCGTACCTAGTGGGGCATTTGCTTTACGTCTACCGACTAGGTGTTTTTTTATGCGGACACAGAGTGGTCTGCCCGTTTCGCTCATGTATTCTCCTCCTCACGACTTACAGGAGATTTGATAAACTGTATAAACTGCACCCGAGCTCATGTAATCACCATCTCTACCACTCTGTCTGTGTCTCTATCTGTACACCCGTTGATCGTCGAGTAACTCGAACGGCTGCCAGTAAATCTTCCATTTTTCCCTTTCACGTGCAAGAGTATCTCAGTGAGTTCTGCTCGCTCTAGGGACTCGTCGAGCATTATATCTTTCTTCTAGGCTTTTCGTTAAGAACTCTGACCATCGGGTCGGCGGTCTTTCTGCAGTGCGTTCAACATCTCGAGGAATCCAGTCTCTAACGGCCTTTGTCCATGTCCATCGGCTGCCATTCATACGCATTACCTGTCCGGCCCACCTTATCTCGACTGTTTGGCGTTCAGAACGATATCTTTGATTTTTTATCGTTGATGCACATCGGAACTTCGGATCCTATCCCTCACTTCTATGGTACGGGATACTCCTAGCATGTTCCTTTCGACTGCGCGCTCAATAACACTGAGTGTCCTTTCATCCTTACTACGCAGCGACCAAGTTTCTGACGCTTAAGTTAGGGCAGGAAGAACCGTTAAGTCGAAAAGGCGGGCGCCGAGTCGGGCGTTCTTTGTTCTCTTCACTACATCCTCGATGCTCTTTTAAGCTCCCGAAGCCGATCGTTTCCTTCTGCTCAGCTTTGAAGCTAGGTCGTTTATTATATTGATTTCCCGACCTAAATAGACATAACTGCACCATTCGGAGATATTCGTTCTGTTGAGCGTTAATCCGTTTACCATAAACATTGTTCTTGCGAGATTTAGCCGAAGACCAATCTTTCCACAGGCTTTATCAAAGTCATCAAGCATACGTTCCGCTTGGCTAGTGTTTGGTTTTACAAGGACGATGTCATTAGCAAAGCGAAGATGACGTAACCGCCAACAATCGATTTTCACTTCCATATTATCCCATTCCAGTGTGCCCATGACGTTCTGGAGTGTGGGGTAAATGATTTTGGCGAGATGGTATCGCCTTGCCTAACTCCTCTTTTGACGTCAATGTTAATATCGTTGTAGAATGGTGAAATCTTGGTTGTGAAATCGTGAACTTATGAAGCTCACGAAGAATTTTTATGTACTGAGTAGAAACCACTTGACTATATCAAGAGCTTTTAAGACTGCTTTCATCTCAACTCAATCAAAGGCCTTCTATAAATCGATGGAAGTGAGACAGTGGTCTTTTGTAATCTCGTGATACTTCAATGAGTCTTGTTATTGCGTGGATGTGGACCATTGTACTAAATACTCAATCGCCTCTACCATTACGGCAAATTATGCAACTTTGCGTTGCACATAGGCAGTCATTTAGGCGGCTACGAACTAGTTGGCCCTAAGAGTACTCCGTGGCATTTCAACTACGTTTGCCGAATCCTCTAGGCCCGCCCTTCTTAAACAGCGTTTGTAGCCGCACTTACATCATTTGAGATGAGCGTTAGGATAAACGGGACCTTTTTATTGCTAGAGTTGTCGTTTGAAAGCCTAGGATTTTTTTTTACATCCATCTCGAGCTGCAGTTTCGTAGCCATTAGAAATGGCTATTTGCGTGCCAAGTTCTGGGACTCCTCTCTCTGCTCTCATCCCGTGCACACGTTGGTTGCTGTTCGAAACAAGTTTCTTATAAGCGCCTTTTTTGTGTGAGAAAGGTGAGAGGAGAGGTAATGAACCAAGATAATTTTACTACTTGGCTTTCGGTGCCACTTCGTAATGTAGGCATTTTCTGGCTGGTTAATTTGTACGTTCAGGAATGGAAGCCATTTTTTTCGGTTTTCCTCAGGTGAACTTATTACACTCTGACTGTTCATTCAGTAACTCAAAACATTTATCCATTTTATCTTGTGTTGTGCAAATGACAAAGCAGTCGTCTATATATCTACAGTAATGTAACGGCTAGAGATTACTGGTGCTTCTACTTCAGACATAAATGTGATGGCGAGGCTTGGTGCCAATCGTTGTCCCATTTCCAGCACTCCTATTTGTGCGTGATAACTCGCTGAATATCTGAAGATTGAGCAGTTTGGGCACTCCTTTAAGGGTGAGATCAACTGCTGAAACGAGAAGCCATAAATGTTTGTTGCCCATTCGTGTGATATAAGGAGCCTGCGGATAGCTTAAATAGCGAAGTCATTCGACACCTTTGTATAAAGGGCGGTAACGTCGAAGGACTCCACCACGTACGCGCTGTTGGGACGTGCAGTACGTAGACGGTCTGGAAACATCTGGTTATTCGTGAGGTGGGCTAGAATGTGTCTCAATAACTGGGTAAACATTAGGGTTAAAAACCACGTTATCCGATCCGTTGGCCAGTCTACACAGCTAATGATAGGTCCAACCTTAAACAATGATGGATCGGTAGACGCAAGATCAGCGCTGGATACTAACTTATGAGTTTTTATAAGCAACTACAAGACGGTACATTTTGTTAAGTTAACTTTTAATTGAAAGATAGCTGATGGTTTTAAACCATCACTCCTTGCCATTTTGGCCCATTTGTGGTTAAATTTTCTGCATTTGCTTTTAAACTCGAGTTTAGAGCCTTCAGTTGCTTCTCAACTTAAGAACGAACACCCGATTTGCCCTGTCCTTTACTTGCTTATTAAAACACATAAGCTTACTTCAACTGATGATATTACGTCAACGAACCCAACATCATATGAAGTTAGACCTATCATCAGTTGTATAGGCGGGCTAACGGATAGAATAACGTGGTTCCTAAACCTTATCCTAACCCAGCTGCTAAAATTCATTCCAACCCATTTACCTAACACCAAAATATTTCTAGACCACCTACGGCGCGCAACCAAACAGCACGCATGTAATGGAGCCATTCGATTTTATCTCACTTTATACCAACGTGTCCAATGACCGCAATGCAAGCCATGCTCGAGTTGCTCGTAGAGCATGTAGGCAGTAAATAAAAAGGTTAAGATTGTGATTTCGACTACAGCCTCAGCTTAACTAGGTTCGTTGCCGATTTGGGCCGCCTAGATCAGTCCAGTTGACGGGTGATTGCTGATGGCACTGATCGATAGTACTCGCTGAGAGACAGGCGAAACGAAGCACCCGCATGGTGTGGTGGTGAACGCGGTACTCCCCGGAAAGGACAATAGCGCTTTCGTTCCCTACCGTAGACACTCCGGAGTTTTGCAAATATCTTTGCATTATCTTAGTTATAAACACTTGCATATCGAAGCATAAGTATTATGATATGTATTATTATGACATTATGACTATAATCATGTCTGCAATGACAATTCAACCAGCTGTGGTGTAGTCTGAGAAAGAGCAGATTTTGACATATGTGAAAGTGTGGAAAGAAGTATAAAATAATCTGAGATAAAGGCAACACGAAGGCCCCGTACTGTGTGGTGGTGAACGCCCGGAAAGGGGAATAGGGTGTTCGATCACAACCGCAGACACCTTCGGTTCGGCGTTTTGCAAATATCTCTGCATCATTGTGGTTCGAATTCAACTACAAAGCATGCGCCGGCCATACTCGGTTTCTATGGAAAAGTCTTGTTTGAAATCTCTGGCTTCTTTTACTTAATTACAAATTCCATAGGCAGCTATGAGAGTAGTGAATACTTATTTTGTTACACTGCGAGTACAAACAAATGATAATCTGTCAGCATAAACAAATAATTCTTCAGTATACAATGGAACAATTCATAAGATATTATAATACAATATAGGTTCTTACCACACCACAGCAGGGTGCAGAGACCGCCGAATTTTATGTTATCACTGGGTTTGGAACGATACTTGGAGAGATCATATTCGACAAATTCCTTTGTAAACACCAATTCTTGACACCTTCTGTAGCACTGGATATTCACCATGATGTAACCAATAGAAGTTCATAAGCCGTCAATAAAAGCGATGAATAATTGTCCAAATAGACGGGAAAGGGATTCATTCTCCCAAACGGAATGCAAAAACGCTTAAGAATTGTGGCAACTCGTGTATGCTCAACAAGAATACCGAGCATATGAATGAGGGGCCGATAACTCCACAAAGCACAAGAAGCTAGGTCAACTATTAAGCTAGGAAGTACTATAGATATAACCACAATGATGCTGAGATAGACTCTCTTTGCCGCTTAGCGAGCAAAAATCGCAAAAGTGGCCAATAAAAGGGTCAAGGTGCTTAAACACCGTTTTAGATGCCTCAGCACAGATAATAAAAAAAGCAAAAACTAGCTTATTGAAAATTACGACTGGTAATAAAACCTAGCTTTTCGAAAACGACTCGACTGGACTAGTAAAACTGGATGTAGATTCTGCTGTCTTATACCAACTGACTATTGTCACTGAGCACTTCCTTTTTGCATGAAGAAACACTACAAATTGTTGATAAGAAAGTAATCTTCAAGACCCAACGATTCGTTTTTTTGGCATTTTTTATTAGATCAAAAGATAGCAATGTCTGGCAGTGTATATGACAACGGTATGTAAAACGCATCCATCCATTCACGTAAACGACTTTTCTAAAAACATGTTCAGAAAATTCTGAACTCAGTTTGCTTGTTAGTCATCTTTAGCCCATTGTTCGTACGCTTTCAGCCTTATATGAAATATTGCGAGAACATAAAACTATTTATCCAGGTGATTTTTCGATTCGAAGCACCAGCCTCTCAAGGAGATCCAGACCTCAATATTCTATAGGAGGAGAGAGCTCATGGAGACCAATACGAGGTACGCTGATCACATTAAGTATCTTGTACATTAGTTAACATACTATTTTAACACTCTATCGCATAACCTCAGCTGTTTAAATGCTAAGCGTGGTTGCAGGGCAATGCTGAGTGCCCAACCGCTACTGGGCTCCTCTTCCAGGTATCTCAGAAGCTGAAGAGTTTGGCATTTCCATTCAGAAGTGCATTTACGAGATCAACCCACGCAGGAGCACTGCGGTACCACTGGCAACATTCTCGACGAAACACTGTTGCAAAGGCAGACAAAAATTGTGATGCTCTTCGTATTCTTTGAAAAAGAGTACACCACTGCGCAACTCTGATGATAACGTTTATTGACGTCGGCTCGAGTTAATCGATGATTACCAGTACTGGACATGATACCAATGATACTCTACCAAATAGTGGCACCCAACTATCTAATAACTCACTTGAATTAACCAACTAAGTCTTACGAAACTATACAGCTGGAAAACCTACTACGAAAATTTAAACAAGGAGCTTTCCATAACACGGCCATCGAAGGTGATTGAACATGTGGAAGATTCGCCCAATACCGCAAAAAATTTAAAGCGAACACCAATGCGATCAATCCATCTTATTTAGAATAATTAATGGAAAAACTGTTACTTTTTTAGCTGAGGGACAGGCGAAACAAAGGAACCCCACAGAGTGGTGGCAACGCGTTAGTCCTAGAAAAGGGTAATAGCGCGAGCGCTCGTTCCACACCGCAAACACCGAGCGATGGACTGTTTCGTATCTCCAACTTATAGCTGCTACCGTCAGAATGTAGGCAAATAACCGGTGGCCAGACTTGGTTAGAACCTGAAATTTAGCTAGCTCTTCTCCTTGACGAAATTTCTATAGTTCTCTCCATTTACTGTGTACGAAGTGTATAGCTGGAGTTTTTTGATTTCTACGTATTTGCTGCTGTCCAACTTAGCCTTTTTCCTGCCAGTTTATTTTAGAGCGTTTTATGTATGTATTTATGTATGTATGTAGGTATGAAATGTGCTAAGCGTCCGCACATGTTTGTGCCATTTGAAAAACTCCGTTACGAAGCTTTCAGAGTCACCGTGAAACCTCAAAAAAGTTATCGAGTTTCTGATAGAATGAAACTTCTATGCTGTGGGCGATTTCTGTGGCTTTACGTCAAATTTAAAGTTTTCACAAGGAGAAATTCCAAGCCTATTTTACTCTGCTTTTTTCATCCCACACGTGACATCTGCCCTACACTGAGTACAACTTATTGGTTTTTCAAAGGTTATAAGCTGTCTTTGTTTTCGCAACGACTCTTTTATTTACGAAAACTGCGCTTGCCTTTAACTTGAAGCTAACTTCTTTCAGCACACACCATTCCTTGCAAGATTCGAGTCTTCTCATTTTGCTGAAATCAAAGTTCGATCTTTTAGAAAACGCGAAACGTTTGCTTTTCTATAGTCTTCAGCGTCAGCTTTCGTATTTCTCACACGAAAGGAACTGAACAGCCAGGGTTTCATTCATTGGAACGGAATAATGTTCTGCAGTGTATTGGTGAGGTTTGCTGCCATCGTGGATCTTTTGGCATTCTTGAAATTGCGTTTACAACTTTTTGGAGTTTTAATTCTAAACATATTTGGAATTGGAAGAATATCTTATACAAAATACATACGATCAACGCAATATGGCTGAGTATCTTCTATGACTCTGTCATTACACTCACCAATATTCTAGTGCTAGAAAGCTATCATTTATCGAGGAAGCACTTTTGGGCGTTGTTCCTGAAACAGGCTACGAGCTCGGTGTAGAATCGGAAACGTCAGTAGAGAAATATGTTTGAGTTTGATTCCACTCTGGCCAACCAAACCTCTCATCCCGCCGGGGTCGGGAAATTGGTACGGCATATGTCTGGAAAAAAAACCAATCTCTGCAATCCAGTTGGAAACGTTCCAGCCCGGCTATCTCAGGACTCCAGGAAGGATTGCTCGACCAGCATTCTACGACATTCAAAATGGAATGAAAATCCTCAAGCAGCAGCGGAAGCGACGCGTAAAAGTTGAAGACCTTCGTAGATTATGGATGACTTGACGTGAAGACGTGTGAAATAAAATAAATGAAAAAGAGGTGTTTTCAACGAGTTTAATCGCTAAAAGCCGAGGAGAGTGCAGTTCAAAGATAAACATAATAACAGAGATATAACTGCATAAGAATCGGCACGAATCCATCATCAGCAATAAAGCATTTTCGAATGATGATCTATCTACACTTTGGAACAACATTCTCATCCTCGACATCTTCGTCAACTACTCTTCTCGACGAACCGCCGCATTCTGCTTCCGTACCCCTCGGTTGTTTTTCCTGAGCCATCCGAAGGGCAAGTGGTTCGTTGTCCTTCCAGTCAGTTTACTTTGGTTTAATATTGCTATAATAATTGAAACTAACCCAAGTAAAATGGAATGGTAAACTTTTCGCCCACTATCGAAGTTCAACATCGTCGCGAAAGTGTTAGATGACTCCCGTTTTTGTTTGTGGTTGGTCTGTAATTGTTGTTTGAAAGCACTAATAAACATGTTCTCTTTCCCATTTGCATATGACTACACGTTTTGCAGTACTACATTTTTAGCTTAATGTTTTGGCGACGTTTTGAATAATTTTTATGTCACGGTTCTCGTAAACGCTAGTTGTTTTAAGTGTTAAGAAAGAGATGGACGACATCGACGTGGAGTTCATGAACGAGCTTTAGTTTCAGTATTGTGGTATTTCCACATTTGGGTTCGCGGACACCGGTAATGTGACACCTCTCTAGTTCTAAGCCATACATAATATTTTGCCTGGTAATATTTTTCAACCGAATTTCATGCGTACATCGCATATTCCAAGCACAGTGTGCCAAAAGAAATATTTAGTTTACAATGATTGTGTGCAGTCATGGGTGGAAGCAGCTAAAGAAGCATTCCCTTCAGCCCCTTTCTATGAAGTGAGTGGTGGCTATGTCGTTGTTATTGTCATTCTGAACAATAGGTAATGTTTTACTCCATCAAATTAGATGGAAGGCAAACAGGGCTATGTGGTAGAGGTTATGAAGATGTTTTTTCATAGTAAGAAAATAAAAGAAGGAACACCTATGTTAACGGTAAGCACTTTTTTAGTTTCTTCACTAGATCTGGCTGCTGTGTAATCTCCTTCTATTTCTAATGCGTATTGAACTATCTGAGAAGTTCCGTTGCAAAAATTGTTTTATTCCGAAATATAGATCCTACTATTTTCAGCGTGTACGTGTTTCATTTAGACAAGCATTTTTTCAATTTTTTTATAAGGAGTGGGTCTTGGAATATGTTCATCGTACTCTTCGCCACGTTACTCTGCCGGAATATGAATATACTCATCAGTTTCTATTATCTGATGCTCCTGATATGCACGAGCTCAATCGTCAAAACTCTAAGCTTGTAAAATGCATTGTTGAGGTCTGTTGCATATGTTGATAATTCGTTTCGTATTTCCTATTATTTCATGAAGTGGTGGTAATATCAACGTCTGCTCTAGGAAATCAATCCGTTTTCAAGAACCACTTCCGTTCTGCTTTAATATAGTACCGCTCAACCCTGAAGGAGTTGAACGAGTGGATCTAGGAGGATGATGATGCAGCTCAAGTTCTAACAACGCTCATAGAACAATTAGAAAGGACATCGTTGGATGGTACAAACGATGATATCGACAATTCTGATATCCATTCAATTTGAATTCCAGCCATAAGTTAGGTGCCTGCAATCACTGTATGTAGTTTCATATCTACCACATAAATATGAAATTTAGTGTGTACATTTAAAAAGTTTATCTCTCTTGTCCTTTCAAGAAACTAAGAGTAGGATGTTATCATCTATCGAATAAATGATGAAAGCCTTATGATTTCAGCTGAGAAAGTTTATTTGCTCAATGGTGATAGTGTTGTCTTCGGAATGCAGCAATCAAGTGTTGAACTCGCTGTCCATCTTGTAATTCTTCTTCCATTGGTATTCCTGTTTTTTTTTCTAAAGGAAAGAAGACCACGGCTGGGTCTCGAAATCAGCAAACGGTTTGTTCATTTAGGGATCGGTCACTTCCCTGTGGACACAGTATGAACTCCATACGACATCGATGTGCTGTCATTCCATTGCTTCGGATTTTGTTAAGTCAGGTCATTTGTATATCCCAATATAGTTGAAAAATGCTACAGTCTTTCTTCTACAACAGAGGCATTGAGCCGTTCTTCCTTGCCTTTCCTTCATGCCAAGCGCCACCCATTTCTTGAATCTTTCATCGTGTTGAATTAGTCGTCCAACTAACATATTTAAGTAATTATCCTCCGTTATACCTTTTTATTTTCTGCCTACTATAATTTCGCGGCAGGGTACTAAGCGAAATACAACCAAAACGTTGCTGAGATATTTGCAAAACTCTGGACCGCAGGTGTCTATGGTGGGGAACGAACGCGCTATTGTCCTTTCCGGGGAGTAACGCGTTCACCACCACACCATGCGGGTCCTTTGTTTCGCCTGTCTCTCAGCTATTTCTATCGATCTTTGCCACAGCAGTCACCCGTCAGGTTTCAGTTAAAATTTGCCCTTTAAGTGTGGAGTAAGTGAATGCAAGCCTTTGGATCAGCGGGAAAGAAAGACGTGTAAAATTTTGTAAATTATCCTACAGCAGAGTTTAGCGCGCTGCTCTCGGCTGCCTTCTTGCCGAATTCATCATTTGATTCCTAAAAGTCGCTGCCGATAACAAATATTCACTGAGCATTCCGGTTATTGAATAAAAAGGGAAAGCAAAGTAGACGTTGCATTTCACCTCGGATATTATCTCATTCTGCACTTTTTATTTTAATGCTGGTCCCAAATGTGATTTTTGCGAAAACTTTCGTATTTCTACAATTTTTGTAGTGTGTGCTCAAAAATTTCACTTTACTCGCAATCTAGAGGCGAATTTATATTAATGGATTTATTAATTCCCATGACCGACTTTCTGTTAACCTCGGCATTAATTGATAATTCAATGTTTTTCATCAATAAGCAGACACGA